TTATTCAGAAGGAGGGGGGGGGGGGGGGGCGGGGGATGTGTTTATACCGGAATTCACGTTAGAAAACTGGCTTCCTGTCAAGATCTCACACTTTTCACTTTGCTTTTTCACAAAAGTGGCACAGGTATAGTCTACAGTCGCAGAGGATTGTGAAATAAAGTGGAAACACATAACGAGCGCAGCATATGACCGCCCGGCATTCCTCTGCCTCAGCCAAGGACCCAAGGGATGGATTTCGATTTATGAGGGGAGATTTTATATTTTGGGTTCCTGCTCTGGCTGTTTTGAAAACACAAATGGAACTACTTGTTTACAACAATCACTGATCTTGTTTACTCCAGTATAGGGAGAGAGAAATAAGTGCGGCTGTAGTAAAATACAGAAAGCTCAGGTCAACTAGGAGCAGAGGTGGAAACTAACCAGTTGAAACCACATTTTTCTTCGATCAGACTTTTCCATTATGGATTTGTACCTTTACCTCCATTCTGCACTGTATCTTGACGTTGCCTCCCACAACAAGAATACTTTAGGAAGTACAGCAGATGTTCAAAACGGACGTTGCAAATGGCCCAATGATGCAATGATCTCACATAAATGCATAGTTTCAGCAAACTTTGACTGTTCTTCCCCATTTTTAAAAGAGACACCGTAGCCAAGTCTGTAAGTTACTCATGTTCTTGAGTAATTTTCCGCAGACACTCAGACCACAAATCGGTGCAACTTCAGTAACACTTTCACTTCACTAAACTGTCTGATAGTGAGTAAGGGTTCCTCAAGGCAATGTCTTACTGTGCAGTAACGGCATGGGAATACCATACACATTATTTCATGGCAGATGCTATCAGCACCCAGGTGTCAGAAACCAAAAATGCAATTTGCACCCGACTCGGGCACTCTATAGTATGTATATATTTTTTCCTGAACCTAACCAAGTAGGTGTCAGGTGAAAATACCTGAAAATACTTGTCATCCACCACAACCTACTCCCTACACATACTCTGTCGCTCCTCCTATACTACTACTGCTGCTACTACAAATACTACTACTACTGATAAATCTTTCCGCCAGAAGGGGCTTCCTGGCAGAAAGCGTTTTGGCTTGCCATCTATTGCTAAATTAAGTAGAATATTCAACTTGGCAGGTTGTAAATAGCCAAATTGTAGATATACCCTCCGTTATACTGTATGTAAGCCAAGAACTTTGATTTATCGCAACACAATTCCAGTCGCCTAGAGTCCAGAGAACAGTAGACCAGAAACTAAAATAAAAATGTAATTGGAAAGCCTGCAGAGTGAAGGCGGAGCTAGCTGTGGTTGTTTTGACCTTCATTTTGAATGTGCCAGCTCATCGAACATCTCATCATTTCATAAAGTCAGCCAACCATCAATTTGCCGTGTAGCAGCCTGTGACTTTACAAGCTAACAACGTCACAGATTAATATGTTTTGGGTTAGTTCTGTTTTTCCATCTTGATGTTTAAAACAATTCATATAAGTCCAAATGATGGAAAGCCGTGTTCCCTTCTGTTAAAATAAGAGTAATATTTAATGTTTGGTGTATTTGCTATTTTCTGTAGTTATGTTTTGTCTCTGTTTCATTAAAAATAAGTAAGGCCGAGGTAAAAATGCACTTTGTATTATTATAATTATCATAACTAATACTATTGCTATTATTAGTAGTAGCTATACGCTTTAACACTGTAGTATTTTGTAACAACAAATGGTTCAACTCAAGTTAAATGTCCTCCTTAGGGAACTTCTTTCACTCTTTCCAAGTGTCTTTCATGAGCTGCCTTTGAGTACTTAATTTATCTCAAGGTAAAAAGGTAAAAGGACCTTCTGATAAATCAGCACTTTGCTTTACAGTAAACGCTCCAGCAGGAAGGATAATGTGGTTTCTTCACCCTTCCAAAGCCATGGAATCCAATGGTAAAGAGAAACCTTTGAACAAGTCAGCGTCTGTACACATACCACACACGCAGCCAGCGCACAACCAAGAAAAAAAGACCCTCTGCAAACCACCAATTTGAATAGCTACACAGGCTGGTCACTGCCGAGACTCTCGTTAGCTTAAGGCCCGGGTCGAAGGCAGCGACAAGCAGGGTTTTGTAATAAGTCAAAAATAAGAGGGGAAGGATCCACATGACCTTTGAGAAAGAGCAAATCAAACTGCCATTTAGTAGTCATTAAGGAAGTGCACCATAAACCGCTCCACCTCTGAGTTGAGGATGGTAATATATATAGTGTGCATGATCCTGTTGAGCAGTACTTGATCCACAGTTTCCTCACCAGGATGAAATACAGACTTCCATGTCTGAGCTGTTTCTATTGTCACACGAACACTCCACGAATGATAGTTAGAGAGGCGACAAAAACTCTGATCAGCCTCAATAGCAGGCAACAATGTGGAAAAAAAAAAAATGCTTTTGCAAGCAATCGTGTAAAAACTGTTTGAAATATTTGACATGTTGTGTTTCTATTGTACTCAGTGGTGGAAGAGGTGTTCAGGTCCTTTATAAAGCATTCAAAAGATTACTGATGTAAAAAAAGTTTGTATTATCAGCACATTGTACTTTAAGTCAAGTCCATTTTTATCTATATATAGCGCCAAATCATAACAGAAACTGTCTATGAAAAGTAAAATGTCAGTGTTTTCCTTGTTTGACTGTTATCTATGATGTTTTTAGATTAATAATGCCGATAGATGAATTAGTATGTTGCATTTTACGGCTGTGGGTGTTTAAGGTTGTGCTAATCTGAACACTTCTATACACTGTTGGGTAGTTTAATCTACAGCAATGCATCATATTCTATCAGATCATCATATGTGTGTAGCATCAGAACAACGTCTTACTTAAAAGTTAACTTTTCATGTGCGTAGAAAAACAGCCCTGTTTTCAGCTTTGTGACGATGCATTTTCCAGCTGATCCAAGAAGTTGTTTTTTTAAGAAGTAGGAGAATGTTCTCACCACATGCAGGATCACCTTTAGTTGACCACAAACATTCAAAATCAACACATAAGCTCTCAGACAAATGTATATTTCCCTCTGAGATGTAGTGGAGTAGAAGTATAAAAGTACAGCACAAAAAGTAAATACTTAATTAAACTTGAGTACAGTTCTTGAGTAAATGTGCTTATAGTTACATTCTACCACTGATTCTACTGCAGATCAAAAAGTAGGCACATTAAATAAAGTAAGAGTTACATTTCTGTCGCTATCGTGACTCGAGACTATCACCAGATGATTAGAGAGAGAAGGAGGAAAAAGAGAGGAGGGCAGTGGAAAGACGGATTCCACCCTGTAATTGTAAACACAAGAGTAGGGGAAGTTTCCCCCTCTCAGCATTTACAGTTTCTTTGTCAGGAAATAAACGACATGATCCTCGACACTCTGCATTCAAACGGATTAAGACGGACTGCTGCGTTATTCATGGTACTCAGTGCGTTAACTTACCGACGTCTGAGTTGCAAAACGCCTGCTGAGGATGCGCTGGGGAGCAGCTGCAGGCTTCCGCGATTTCTTCCACTCGCCATAGAAACAGGATGGCCAGAGTGACCAAACAACTGTTCGCCGTCCAGGTCATCTTAGAAAACTAGTTCAATTTAATTAAAGAGGTGATGGTGGGAAAAATAAACGAGAGGGACCAATTGAGCAGTCAAAAAAAGGAGATGAATCAGAAACGTCCCCGGCTTCGAGCGAATAAGAGACGGCCCCACTTGTCAAGAGTGTGAGACGCACAAGGCGTGAGAGGCTTATCACTCCTGTAGAAGACTCAAACACTGTGAGACTGCCTCCTCCAAATCTGTTTTCCTCCACCGTGAGCAGCAGCCGCGTTTTATGAGCGCAGGCTGGCGGCAGACTCCTCCCCTGCGAGGGGGCTCAGCCAGTGAGCTGCGGCGGCCCTGCGGAGGTCAGGGGGGTCCCAAAGTTGTCTCACCTTCTGTCACAATACTGTCTCACGAAGAGGTCAGATGGTTGTGTGTGACACAGCATCTGTTAACGCAACCTCAGCCACACACACACACACACACACACACACACACACACACACACACGCACACAAACGTGCGCAACTTCTGTTTTTCTTTAATTTGTAATTTATCATTCAACCGTGAACTTTTCCCAATTCACTTATAATATTTAAATCTATAACATTAACTTAAATTATAACCTCACATCAAAACCTATCAGCAAGGAAAAAACAACCTGAAATCGGGTCGGAAAAATTGGGGTCATTATGTCATTATGTCCGAGGAATTCCCTTATCTCTCAATCTTTGTGAGTATAGGCTACGTTTAGGGGGGAAAAATCAGCAGACAACTATTTTGTGGTTTTGCCATTCCAACAAAATGGAAATCTCCACGTTATACTGGAGATAAGTCATCTGAGGAGAAAGGGTGCTCAGACAAATTTTAAGTAATTTCAATTCAATTTCAGTCATACAGCCCAACGTCATTACTCACACATTTGCCTCAGGGAGCTTTACAATCTGTACAACATACAACATCCTCTGTTGTCAGGACCCTTGATTCGGATAAGGAAAGACTCCAAAGTATACGAGGATAACCGGCTGCTTTTCCTTAGCACACAGACATGAGAGTAGCCTACCAATCTCCTCAATTCTCTCTCAGTATTCGTTTAATGGAAGTAGATATCTGGACTGACCTCCGTCTGATCTTCAACCTTAAGCCCCACTGTCTGTGGTAACAGTGGCCTTACACTATCTTACAACACTTGTGGTGACGCCATACAAGTTGGACAATTTTTAAGCAGTTTGGCCATAATTGGTTGTTCTTCCCTTTTTTGTATTACCTCAATTGTTTTGCAATGCAATGCCTTATACCTGGTTGTTTTGACCACTTGGCAACAGCAGAAACAAGCTGCTAACGCAACACTGACATCTCCAAGTTTAAGTTGATGAACTTGGTAAACTCGTTAGCAAACAGTAGTTTAAGGCATTTACATTCAGCAGTTATGGAGCAACATAATCATTCACCTGGAGTCGTGTGTCTTGCCACCGGTGAATTTAAATTCAATACTTGGTCAATTTGGTCAACTGTTTACGGAAATATCTGGCTCATTAGCTGTTATATGTTCACTGTATTGTTCCCCAGGGTTGTCACTAACTATGTCCGTCTCCTGTTTGGTGCTGAGCAGGTGGTGAGCTTTGGGAATTTAGAGCTTATTCATTGAAAATAGCTGCCGAAAATCTCTCTATGAGAGCGGTGACAGTGAACAAAACAGTAAAGTTGTGAGCCAAGCAGCTAAACAATGAGCCGAAAACTTTATAAAGCTCTGTGAGGCAGAGTGGAGCTGCAGATTCAGGTGATAATTCTCTGTAAATGTATTACGAAAGACCCCTATCACATTCTCACATTGTTAATTTAAAACGAATTGAAGCGGCTTTAAACATATATGTTGACATTTATTTTAACAGGTATGAACGAGAAAATACTGACGTGAGTCCTACAGAGTAGGCTAATCGTCAGCCCACGCCGCACAGTTATCTGCGGTTTCTAGTCAGTGAGAGTGTTTATGCATGCACAGTCAGTTTCAGTAACTAATAAAACACTGTTTGTAACAGATGATGGGAGTAGGAGTGGAGGAGGAGTGGAGGAGTGGAGTGAAGTGACATCATCCCCCTAAATTTAATAGATTCAATCTGGCGGCGATTCCCCTAAGCGTACGCTACTCAAGCCCCTCTGCTCTTATGTGAAAGAAACATTATGTTGTAGTCAAATTCTTTAGTTGTTCCTCATCCCTTACTCATGCACGAAAATAGATGGCTCCTCAGTTGGAAAGTTCACCGCATGCAAAAGCACCTCAGGAAACGGAGGGTCTCAAGAGTTTAGGGGTTTTGTGGCCTCCAGTGTTGATTCTGGCTTAGAAACGAGAGATCACAGCGAGGGCATGGCGTGTTTGATGATTAGAGCCGATGATGAATAATGAAGAGGACTGAAGAGGGAATGAGAGAGGACTGTATCTTCCGCGGCTTCCTCGACTCCCTGACATCATATTTGGCCATCGAAAGTCGGTCTTCTGGCCGCTCTGGCAAATATTTCCACTCTTTTCCATAGATGAGCATTTTTGCCTGGTTGCTTTCCACAGGTCTCTGTGAGCCCACTTGATGTCTGTGTAAAAAACAGGCCGGGAGAGGAGAGAGTGAGAGCAGAGAGGAAAATGAAACAACCAATTTAGAGTCATCTTTGTATTGACCAACGTCCCGTGTGCCTTCTAGGCATTCATTCACTTTTGGAGTAAGAATGGCTTCAGTCAGATAAGGAAAATTCCCAAAGTTTTGCAACCCAGTATGACTCGTTAGCAGAGTGGAAGTTACCAGACACAAAAGACGCACCAATGACAGTAACACAGATGTTGGGCGTTGGACAGGAATAAGGACACATGAAAGGAAGTGACACATCCAAGACCAAATGAGTAGAAATATGCCCCTGTCTCTTTCCACAGTTTTACAAAAAGCATCAGAGGAACAGCAGACTCCTTCTTCTTGGCTAAGCCCGCCTCCCCCTGTCCAAACAGTCGGCTTCCTTCGCACCGAGATGCTGACTAATGTGGTGGGCTCTGCTCAGATCGCAGCCGTGTCCCCGGCTCCTGAGCATATTTCAAATGACCTCACAGCATGACCATTCTGAGCTATTTCCCACCTTGCAACTCACCCTTTAGGACGGGGTTTTACTCGCCAGCTAAGATCGGCATTATTGTATCAACATTTGGTTTTAATTTGTTGAGAGAGGCCAGATTTGTCAAAGAAGTGCAATGTAAGCAGCCCCCCTGTGTACTTTACCCACTACAAACTCCAAAAGGGGCTCAGGAATGGCCATACAGCCCCGAAAATTACAGACTTGCAAGGCCAGGAATACTCTCAAAAGGAAGTGCCCAGCAAGATGGTAAAAAGAGGGTCTCATTGCGGGAACTGGTGGGTGCTGTGGCAGTGACCCACATCCTCTGACTCCCATCTCCTCTGCCCTGGTGCCTGCACCCATCCCACATGACCTGACCAACACGTAGCTTGTTGACCATCCATTCTCTGCTGCATGTCTGCCTCTGTTGTGATCTCACCGGCTCAGGGGTAATTCCCATAATTTTCCATTCATCGGTGCACAGCTATTCGTATTTTATTGGTGACAATGTGAGACAATGAATCAGCTTCAGCATCTCAGGGTTAGGAGGAAAATATCTGCTTGAAAAAAAACAAAGAACAACACAATCCCACCACCACAGACTCTGAGGACAAATGGTCTGGACTGTCCTCAAGTACGGCGTCACAGTGTCACTGAGTCACCTCAGTGAGTCTGCTGGTAACGTCCACAAAGCATCGTCAGTGGTTTGAGTGGAAATGTTGCTGCACCCTGAAAAAGCGAATTGTCACTTTTACGTAACAGAGCCATCTGGTAAACGAACGTGGACATTATTGTACAGGATGCTGATGAACAATTTAAACTGCAGAGCAAACAAAAAGAGCAAACACAAAGATTGCAGCTGATCAAGCTTTATTATTGATCATAGTTAAGAAGCAGTAATTGATTTTTTTGCGGGGGCTGTTTGAGGAATATATCTACACAATGACAAAAAAAATCTATTTCCTCATACTTTTATATCAGAATTCAATTATCTTTTTTTCCTGTAAAACTAAATATGAAACTTGTTAACGGAAACTACCAGTTTCAATAAAATCATGACATCCATCCATCAATCAATGTTCAACTTTTAGCGACAGGTGTGTGTCTGTGTGTGTGGAGTAGGATATTCTAATATATCCCTGTTATTTATTCATTATTTATCCCTTTCTGAAATATTTAGTTCTACTGAGCAACACCTCACAGTACAGGAGCTAAATACGCCCTAACGTCCGTTTCACTGGGACTTTAAGCTCCGCTTGGCTCTCCACCAGCTCCAGAGGGAAACACCAGGCTCCTTAGATGCTAAACGATCCACTACGTACACCAGCTATAGTTTCTAACTTTATGTGTCTGTGATTTAGTGCTGGAAAGGCAGCGTGTGATTGGCTTATCTGTGCTTTTTTGTTGCAGAAAACAGCTGCCTGCTGCTGCTGGAAGAGGCGGATGAGAGTAAATTTGCAGGCCTTTTAAGATATGAAAATCATTTTCAGTGCGGATTTAAGTTTAAGTACATAATGCTGAATTCCACTGACACAAGTATTCTCCATTTCATTGTGTGTGACCACAACACAATTTTTGGGAGGGTATTGGAGTTCAAGCTGTTAGATTTTTCACTAAATCCCAAAGAAAAGTGGGGCCAACCAAACAAACAGAGCATGTCATGACTTGTGGGGGCAATTATTTGTGGGCTAAAAAGACACAATAGTGAAAATACAGCCAGATGTTATACTCGCAGCAAAACAAGTGATAACACAGCAGAACTTTCCTTCTTACCCGGATAAACACATTACATTGTGAACACAACCTGGCATGAGATTACTTGTAATTCACCCGTGCTATGCAGCACTCTCTCCTGCGTCCGACTAAAGCATTGCTGTGAATTTCCTGAACCATGAGTGCACGTGGAGGAGTCTTCTTTAATTGAATATATACGGTGATAATGCAATGAACAACCCAAGCATCTGATCAGTCATCTTATGTCATCATGTCATGTTTTTAGTGCGCAAACAGTCAGTCACACTTCTCAGAAACCCCACAAGTCACCGTGTGTTAGCTTGTTATGTGTGGCTGTCTAACCCACCTGTCCAGGCATGTACACGCACCCATGTTGTCAAAGTGTGACTGTCAGTTAATTGTGTGTGTGGGGACTTGAAGACAGTCTGAAAACACAATTGCTTGGGGAAGATTCCATGATTCACGAAGAGGAAACTGATTACACGCTGAATCAGACCCCTGTAATCACAAAACCCTCTTTCGCACGACGTTGATTGAAGCCGACCTGTTTGAAGTTTGTTGTTTTCATTCTGTTGGGGAAAAGTGTGACGATGAACGAACGTGACTTTGATGTGTTTTCACACGGAGGATAACCAAACTGGAACTATTTCAGCAAGAACACAATGCTGAAGAGGTCAGGGCAGATACACCTTGTTAGTTCAAGGATTAGTTCAACATTTTGGGGGATATGTAACTCGGTCTCGTGAGGAGAGTGGGATGAGGATCAATACTGTTTAAATATGTTTGCACATCTTAGCACAGAGAATGTAAACAGGGTGAAATAGCTGGCCTGGTTGTGTCTGAAGGTAAAAAGATCTGCCCACCAGCACCTCTTAAAATCACTAATTATCACATTATATTATTCATCATTAGCTTATTGTTTAATATTTACAAAACACAGCATGTAAAAATGACAAGTCAACGTTTTATGGTGGGTTGTGTGCCACATTTTGTCTTGCCAGGGAACCAGCAGAGACTCCAGGAAGTCGGTCTGATCACAGAGAAGAAGTAATTTGGAACATAACACTTTATTAGTGCTTTATTTTGAGGTGTTGTTAAAGGGGATTCTATAACAATTATTAACAGACCAGCCCCCCCCCCCCCCCTGTTTTCAGTCTTTGTGCTAGCTAACTGACTGTCAGCAGTCAAACACTAAAGTGATAGTGATCTTACCTTCTATCTCTCCAGCAGATATTAAAGCATATTTCCTAAAATGTTCAACTTATTCCTTTAAACTTGTATTTCAATGACATTTAGCAGAAATCCTGGAAGATTATTTCCTTTTTTCTCCTGCACAAATATCCAATATTGTTCCCTGACAGACCTCCATGTCGCTGATTTTTCATTTTGTGTGTCTCACACATCTGGATGAACCTGAAGTTAGGATTTATATATTGCTGTTGGTTTTGTGAAGAACAGACACACGCAGAAAAGGATCTAGATATGACTTCATTTATTTTGCCGTTAAAAAAAAAAAAAAAAACAGTAAATGATTCTTGATATGAAATAAATCACAGCCAGATGACACATTTGTAGCTCATCAATGAAGATTTATGAAAAAGAAAAAAATCACATAATATTGTATCATCATTGCAACCTATTGAATAATACGCAGACAAATTGATCAGAATATATTGAGCCTGGCGCTGCTTTTGGATCAGACATACTCCGGCCTGACTACAAAGCGGTAGGTGTATTGGTCATCAGGACAGGGATAGGTAAGAACCGGGGTCCCATTCAGGGTCGCCATGTTGTTCTTGAAGTCCTGAACCTGGCAGATGTACTTGCCTTGGCACATCAGCAGGAGACGATTACGAAACAGGATGTTGCTCCATTCAGTGAGGCGGTTTTGAGGCGCCAGCCTCGCTGAAGGGAACGACTCGCATCTCACGCCGCGGTTTGAACATTCGTGTTGGTACTTGAAGACATTTGCCTCCCAGCGAATCTTGTTGCCCTTGAAGATCAGGCTGTTGTGGACGGGTGTGTTGAGCCACGTGGTGGGGGTAGAATCGCGTTGATTGCGATACATGTAGCGGTTTTGGAGGAGAGTCAGATCGATGCTCCATGGCTCAGCGGTGTAGATCCTCGGATGGTAATCCTCATCTTCTCTGTCGAACTTGGGGTTGGACATCAGATTGCTGAAGAGCAGAACATTAAACTGGAAGGCTTTCAACACCATTTCCCGATACATATTCCTATGAGTGCTGTAGAGAGAGGAGTTGGACTCCAGGTCATACAGTGCCTCAGCGGGGATCATGGGGAAACGAACGCGGCTCAACAGGTCAGCCTGGGTTTTCCAACTGGTCGAGTTGCCCTTCTCTGTGATCCAGCTCTCCACAGTCTGAAGCAGAAAATATTCATCCGGCACCACCAGGTCTGAGCGCAGCAGGAGGGATCCGAACAGTCCAACGGAGAGTCGGGTCCAAGCAGGGGAGGTGGTCAGATTTTGGTAGTTCCAGGCTAGATACTGAATACAGTTCTCTTGGAGGACAAAGTCCCCAGTCTCCGATGCATATTCGTAAAGGGACAGCTGCGTGTGGAACGAGGCGTCCTCTGGGAGGATTTTGGTGAACAGCCGGCCTGCTTCCTCCATCAGCTGCTTCACCCCAAACGTATAAGCCATCCAGTGGAGGCACTGCACGGAGGAGAAGGTCACATCCACCTTGCGGGTGTAAATGTACCTAATGAGAAAGAGCATTTGTTAGATTCAAGCGATTGTGCTTTCTATTTACGAGCTCACAAAAAACACCTGGGTGATAGTAATGGGAATTCTGCATCTTAAACCAATTCTCGTCATCACAGCGGTGTCATCAAACCTGATGAAGGAGGAGAAATGCGGTAGGCAAGCGTGGCCGACGTCGACCGTGATGCCGGTGGTCCCCTCCGAGGCGTTGAAGAGTGGGAACTGTGAGAGGATCAATTTGTGTGCGCAAATCGTCGAACCAAAGACCTCCGGCGCCCCGCCTTCCTCCGTGTTTCCAGTCGCGCTCTGGACTGAGATGGAGAAGTCACAGCCGATCGCGCTGTCGAAGAGCAGGCCGCGCTCATCGGACAGACTGATGCTGTGGTCCAGCGAGTATGGAGAATCTCTGCTGGTCACATTTGAGCCTGGAAGCACAAATCATCGGGATGAACATTTGATAAGAGCACGAAAGAGCCCGAAGAGGGTTTTTCGATTACGCACCGCTCTGTTCACAAATAACTCCCACGTCCTCTTTGTGGCTGCAGTCGGTCGCTGCCCAGCTTGTGAAAGCACACGTAGAGAGATAATTCTCTGTGCCTTTACATCTCAGATCATCCAGCCAAATAGGTCCGGACGCTATGATGAAAAAATTAAAAAAAAAAAAAAAGGGAACACGTTTGTTATGGCAGAAACACATTAAACGGTGACCTTTCTGACAGCTGAGCTTTGTGGCTTTGGTATCAAATCACAGCTTCCTCCCACATTTACAATAATGTCACTGCCCTCTGGTGGGGGATGAGCGGAAGTAGAAGGCACCTTTTCCGTAGTCTTTCCCAATGACAACAGATTTGGCTCCGGGGAAGCCGAGCTGGCGACAAACCACCTGGGCCTCAGCCACGTCCCAGTCGTCGTCACACACCGTTCCCCATTTCCCCTCGTGGTAGATTTCCACACGGCCGTCGGCAACACCGCCGCCAAACAGCCTCACGTCACCTTCCTGCAGCACAGGGTTCCTTTTTCTATCTGTATGACAACACAGGCTCGGGATATTTAACCTTGGCCGTGACAGCAGAGAGGTCACATAAACATTTGTATATAATCTACAGGCTACAGATGTATTTGTAAAAGCACAAACTGTAATAGGCATTGCCTGGATTACAGCTCTACAATGAAAACTAGTTTATTATCAAGACTGTATCCTGTCCGTAGAATGAATTTCAGGGTGTAAGCGTTGTATTTGTTTTCACACAAATGAGATATGCTTCGGATGACTCACCAAACAGGTTGAATTTGAATGCACTCCCAGAGACATGGAGAAGTAGCAGAAGCCACACAGTGAATAGGTTTCGATGTACGAGCATTTTCAACCACAAGTGAAGGAGTCTGACAAAGAAGAGGCAATGTGAGCAATATGCACGACTTCACTTTACAATTCAAAAACGATGGCTGCGATGAGTAGAACTGTAATTTTGGTCTTATTGCGTATAAATCAATTTATTCATTAAGATGGAATGAAATTCATTTTAACCGACTATACTAAATGTGTGCAATAAAAGTTAAAAGGTCAAACCTAAAAGACAAAGTGTGCCAAGTCCTCACATATAATAAAAGCACATTACCTTCTTCCCTTCTGGTTGCAAAGTGATGTTGTCCAAAAATGTGCTTCTCTCTTCTGAAGTCTGCGACAACAAATCTCCTTTTTAAAGTCCTGCCAAAAACAGGGTTCACTTCTCCATTCCCACTGCTTTGCCGCAAGTTTCGTTTCACACTGAAGCAGACAATCAGGGTGTTGCATAAAGGTTTTCGGTACGTTGACCCGTCCCGACTTGTTTGAGGACAACGTCTAACGTTTGTTGAACTAGAACAAAGCCACATGACTTAAACGACAGGAGTCAGATGATAGGAATCAAGTTATTTTACTCAGTCATCCCACCCCAAAACAATCATACAATTCATGTTCCCCCAAAAAGTCCTTCAAATAATGTCGATGAAGAATAAAAACCTTTTTTTTGTTATTTCAATGAAAATAGCATGTTTGGTGTGTACAGAATGATGTTTAACATGGAGCAGAAGAAACCGGTTGAGAGTGTACACTATGTGCATGAACATGTATGCTTTAGGAAAAGAAATTACAGTCTGATAAATCAAACGTTTGTACATTCATCATAAGAAAGGCTACAGTACTGTTCGAGGGCCACATTTGTCCCGGGAAGGAGACGATCGGCGGACCTGCTGGCATTGTTTGTGTTCACTGGCAACAGGAACCCTACTTTACAGTCTCAGCCTGTTGTTCTTCTACTTGTACTGAAGACGATCCTTTAAAAAAAAGGTTGGATTTGTGTCTCAACGAGGAAGCAGCGAGTGCAGTAACTTCAACAGTGACTGGATTGTAAACAAAATAGAACAGTGCAGTGGCCTCGAGAGCGAGTCCCTCAGTTTATATGAACTCCAGGCCCTCGTATTTCACATCCCCGATCTTGGTTTCGGGCAACAGGATGCGTCCGTCTAGCGTGAAGGCCATGATGTACGTCGCAATCTTTTCGCCGTCTTCCTCGGATTTGAGAGCCAGAATGATCTGGTCGCCTGTATTCGGGACAAACTTGAAGGAGGAGAATCCGTGTGTGGGGTTAAGCGGACCCACTCGACTCACAACGATGTCCCTGAAATCCGACGAGCAGCTGAGGGCGAGGTTCGCGCCGCGGCTCTCGTCCGCCTTCTCCTCGTAGCGCTCCTTGCTGGCGCGGCGAGGGAGGAAAAACCAGCGCTGCAGGGCGTCGCTCCACGCCGCCGACTCGTGGATGAGATACCCTGCGGAGATTTAGGAGAATACAGATAAGCAAAAAAGAACGAAAAAAAAGGAAGCAACATGCGAGCGGGAGCAGATTTAGACCCCTCACCTGGAGGCTCTATCCCTGCAGCAGCCTTGAGAGAGTCGTACGTGGGAACCCAGTTCTCATGTAGTACGTCCCCTCTGAAACCCACTACTTTCACCCACTCTGGGTTGTTATTGACGAACTCGCCCGCGATGGTGGTCCACTCCTTCCCCAGACCGCCGACGTACAGGTGCTTGTCCTTCACTGCCAGCCACTCGGCTTTGAACCCTGTCGGGAGAATAGCAATTTAACCACGTACAAATACACCAATGGAAATACTCCAGTAGAATATTAACATGTGTGAGAGGCGAGTGATGCTGACCTTTGGCGACGCTGCCGTCGCCGTCGGGTAAGATGACCCAGGGCACGATCTTGTCCCCATCGATGTGGTAGACCACGCCCGTCCTGTCGTCGACGCTGTAGAGCTTCCCATTGAACACCACCAGCTCAGACAGCTCCATGCCCCTTCCCTTCTCCGACAGGTGGCTTTCCAGCACCACCCTGTCGGCGTCCCACTCCACTGCCACCGTGTCCCCACTCTGGGACACCAACAGGTGGCCCCGCCGCATGTAGCTGAACCATGTCAGCTCCTTGTCACTACGAGACCTGGTGTCCAGGTCGGCGATGACTCCGATGCGGTAGCGGTTGCCCTGCGGCGTGCGCTCGGGCACGCTGAGAGGGTAGGTGTCGTTGTAGCGGAAATCGGACTGCTGGGTGTCGCCGCGACTGGCCCTCCAACCGTGCGAGTCGTGGGAGCGGGAGCGCAAGCCCGAGGTCAGGTGCATGAAGAGCAGCAGAAACAGCGACAGGAAGAAGACCACCACCACGATGGGCTTCAATTTGAGGCGAAAACGAGGGTCAGTGGTGTTGGCCATGGACGCCAACATGGGGAGGCCTCCGACGGAGATGCGCAGACTGTTCATAGGGTCATTGTGCTCCAGCGGAGTGAAGCCTGGGGGAGCAGGCATGGAGGACGGAGGCCCGGGGTGACCTAAACAAAAAGAAAGAGACGGTTTGTCCACTTAAAAACAAAAAACAGGGCAGAACGAGGGTTAAACGATTGATGGATTACAGCTTCTTCTTGTGTTCTAGATTATATCTAAGGTCCCAACATAGATATAAAAGTCAGCTAGACTACAGCGATACTGTCAACATATTTACCTGACCCACTTCATCATGCTGTTTTTAGATATATTGTGTTATGTCTCCACTTATCTTCCTGAAACATGAAAACATTTTCTCTCTTCTCTCCCCGCTGTGTCTCTCTTCTCTCCCTCTGTGTGTGTTTATTTATTTTCCCTTATCTGTGTGAATGATTGAGCTTTGTCTCGTGTGTGTTTTGTTCTCTTTCCAGGTCTCCATGGAGGAAACGAGGTCCTCCGGCTCAGGGGTCTCACCCGTTTGTTACAATCTACCACACCAACTAAAGCTAAAGATTCTCTAATTTACGCTTCACTGTGACTTTAAAGTCAGACGATGTCACTTTTGTTCAACAGCAGCCGCCGCGGTCCCAAGTGACAGGAAATCCTTAAACAATGGCAACAGTGTAGAAGAGTCATTAAGTCAGCAAACCGGCACAGTGACGTCTGTAGTAGAGCAATACCTACTGTAGCTAACATTAGCTACCCAAACTACTGGTTATACCAGACTAAGGAGTGTATTACCTTGAGCAGAGGTGTGTTATATCTCCTATGAATTCAAAGAATTTAATTTGCAGAAGAAAGAATATGATTTTAATATGGTAATTTGTACTCATATACAAGTCACCATTCAGGTTATACAAGATCATTTTTACCAGTAACAGGCCAACAATTAAACTGTATAGATACAGCTGGCAGGAAAAAGTAGTAACACCTGATTTGCCCTGTGAGAAAGTACCAAAACTAAAGACCCAATGGGCAGAGAGGGTTGTCTGGTAACCGCAAGGTTGGCGGTTCGATCCTTAGCTGCTACGTGTCCTGTGCTGAAGTGTCCCCGAGCAAGACACTGAACCCCTAACTGCTCCCCGGGCGCTTCTCAGCTGCCCACTGCTCCCAATAAGCCATGGATGGGTTAAATGCAGAAGTCAAATTTCATATATATGACAATAAAGTGACTTGTCATTTGATTAAAGTTAATCTCACATTAGACTCACATACTCTCTCCATCAACAGACTCTGTTGGCCGATCAACTCTGTATTCCCGCTGGCAGGCAGATCATTCATTAAAAGCCTGTTAGTATAAATGGTGGTACAGCTCCCACGAGTGACTGGATTCAACGTTAAACATTAATGAACAAGAAGCAGGAAGTGGCCCCGGGTTGTGGGTTGGGTGGCTATTGAGTGGCCACCATGTCAACGTGGAAGTCGGGAGGAGCCCAGTTAGTGACAGACGGGAGAAGGCCTCTGTGAACAGGTAAATCAGGAAACACGCAGCCGGCTCCTGCATCATTCCGATCATCAATTCTTCATTCGAGTAATCGATCAAGCTATATTCTCTAAAGTCATTTCGACACTTTACAGACCAAACAGGTCATTTAAAAGCTAAACAGATGAATCGATAATGAAAACAATAGTTAGTTGCAGCCCTAAATAATATGAAATCTCGCTTTTTCCCTTTGTGGGCTGTTGAAAGCTCAAATTATAAGTCAACTTACGGGTAAGAGTCCAGTACAGAGTCCAATATTTGATGTTTCTAGGTTTTTAAATGCACAAACTTGCAGGTTTTCTTTGTCTTACATTACAGTATAATGGTTATCTTTGAGTTTTGGACATCACACGTGACAAACCCAGCCAAACTATGCCAACGCTTCTCAAAGGAAAGTAGCAAGCAGCACTAAGTAAGTCCCGAAATCTAGAGAGAAAGTCGCCAAGAAGGCAACAGTGACAGCACCGTCCCCTTCAGGCCTCGACCCCAAAACGAGCAGAAAGAACGTAAACAAAGAACATGGCTATTGTTACTCACAGCTGTCAAGCCAGCAGCTTGTGGAAGACTCCAGTGACGAGCAATGAATGCATGGGCAGAATACGAGCAGACAGGCAGCCCGTCCAATCATTCAGACTGAAATGATTGGACAGGCTTACGACTGTCCTGCGACAGTCACAGATACTGGATTTTAATAATCTGAAGAGGAATCAATAAGGAGAATAATCATTAGTTGCAGCCCTAGTTCAGTTAAACCAGTTCATCCTCATTTAAATGTGCATAAGTGATAAAAGGGAAAGTTGAGAAGGTCTCAAAAGTCATATTTCAAAACACAGGAAACTTTATTTCCTAATACTTATATTTGATTATTGATAAAACACCCAACAAACTAATGAGACCGTGTCCGTCCACCAGGCTCTGTAGAGCAGTAAACGTTTACTCCCAAACCAGCTCCAGGGACCTCTAGACCTCGACACTCCTGCGGCCTAAATATGGCGCAGGAGCTGAAAGACTCTTTCATGAGAGGGCCCCCCTCCCCCTGAGCCGAACAGCAGTCCATTATGGCAGAAACATCAGGGCCCGCACTCTGAGGAGAGCAAACTAGATCCTCTCTGGAGCACACCGACAAGTGGCTGATGTTCGTTAAGTTTACGGGATGTTTTTGGATTCTCATTTTGCCCCCCCCAAAAAAATCCCCTTTCCTTTCCTTTCCTTTCCTTTCCTTACCCCTTCGTTTCCTCCGGCCAGAACGCTGACCCTGAGCCATCAGACCGTCCTCACCGTCCTCAAACGAGAGCTCCCGCAATCTGTGCTGAGCGCTTGCCGCTCGCAGATTATTTGCAGTGCAACCATGACTAAGGATTATTTACGATGCTCGTGAACTGTAACTAGACTCTGAGGATAATGTGCGAGTCCAAAGGGGCAAAGCAACACCATTCATCAAGTGTTCATTCATAATAGCAACTAAGAGCCAGGCCACCAGGGGATAGGGAATAAAAAAGGTGGGAAGACGAGAATCCTGTATACCTTTGGAATTTAAAAAGAATAGTATTTGATACACAATGGAGGTTTTTCTGTGATGTGATCAGTACTGGGACTGGAATGAGGCCAGAGATCAGCGTGATAACACCAGCAGTACTCGTTCAACATGGACGCTATGACCCTTCTGAGCTTTGGTCCAGAAACATGTTAGGAGTCCGAGAAGTTAATTATTAATTAACAAGCAACTCCTGAGCGTCTCGAAGTAACTCTCAAAAGGTTTTTGAAGAGTTCAAATTCATGAAAGGACATCATTCACAAATGAAGGGTATGGGACATATGACAATATGCATAACGGGCATACGGACTCAAACTATACAGTTCGTATGAGGTCGCTGTCTCTTTAATATCCCTGGTTGCATTGCACCATTGTGGGCAATATTAAAAGTCAGTGGGCAATATACTTCAATGTTTGATTCACAGGATTATTGCATCAATTTGATACAAATTCTTCTAATTCACCAGATGAGCCACATCTGGTTATTTTTGTCTCTCGATTTAGTTTTCAAAAGGTTTGTTATACCATTATATTTAATATAAACACTGCTACCTAAAATTATATATGCTCTGATAATGTTATCCATATCACTAACCGGTCGTTTACTCAATCTATCAATTGGTCAATAAAATAGTGAAAAATGACCAAGGTCCAAGGTGACATCCTCAAAATATTTGTTTTGTTCAACCAGCAGATACACCAATGCATAACACAGTAAGTAATATATTAATAGTCTTATATTAATGATTAATGAATTATCAAAACTGTTATTTTTCAGTTGACCAACTTATCAATTACTCCACTAATTGTTCCAGCTCTAGTGTGAATTAGTGAACATGTAACTTCGGAGCGTCTCAGAGTGGTTTTTAAGGTCATTTTGCACAACAGCGTGGCAGCATTAGCTGTTGTCCTGGTCCTGACCTGTCCTGGTCCTATCCTGTCCTGGTCCGGACCTAAGCCCCTCTCAAACGTAAAGCTGCTGGTTCCCTGATGTAAAAGAGTGAGTATCTCTGCTCTGTGCCGCCATAAAGGACGACATCTGGGGAGGTGGGCTTCAAAGGAACCAGATCAAGGACCCAGAGGGTGTGCGTTCAATCCATAAATAGTTCACTTATTGACAGACTCCCAAGACCTCTGCATGTCAGGGCGCACACAAACAGATGTGCACTGACCTACGGTCTTGATTTTAGGTGGTTTCAACCAATAAAAAGACACCGTATGACACATAGATCTACTACAGTGACATTTGAGTATTTATTATTTAGTTTGCAGACCAACTGGGACCATCTCAGAGTCCCCAAGTGGACCTGGGACACTTTACTGTCTGCATGCCTTTAATTCATATGCCACTGAGAGCAAAGTAACTGAATACAGGGAGGGTTATGTTATTAAGCATGACAGAGACTGTAGGTCTCCCTCTCCTCTTTCACACACACACACACACACACCAACACATCTCATCTGCATGTGTGTGTGTGTGTTAGCTCGTCCTGCCAGCAGCGCAGAGGTTAACGCAGATGCCATCACAAATGGCTGCGTTCAGGAGCGACGTGAAACCTTCTCACTCACCGCAGACGTTAGATGTTCCGCTCACAGTCCGCCGGCGGTTGGAGCTCAAATGTCATCGTTTTATCGCTTCCTACTTCGGCTCCTTTTCCTCCGCTCCCCGTTCACCAGACAGCCGCTCATTACTTCCTGTATCTGCTGATGACGACGGCAGCAGCGTGCACCGCTTGCGCGCGGTGGATGGAAGAGGGATTGCCGAGCTGCTGCGTTCAGTTGCTGTCGGAAATTTGAAAACTACTCCATTCCATTGAGATAGAGAACATACTCGTCCTGCATGGATTACATTATAACAGTGGCTGGCCGTCAGGGCCTGCAATGCCTTCTCTGCTGGCCTAAACAGAATCACAAATTTATAGCTATTTTATAATTTAATATTTTTTCTTAAATACACTACATGTATTATAATTTATAAAAATATTTTCCCCATTATCTTATTTTCTCATTGCACAGCTCCTGTCTTCCTCAGTTGCTCTGCTTCCAGTGCAGCTTGTTTTAAGTAGAGCTTTTATCCAATCAGATTTCACCTCTGTGTCTCTAGGTAAGAACAGAGGCCCGAGGCCTGCAGACTCTCAAGTGAATCCCTTTGCAGTTTAAGTGAATGGGGACGAGGTTGTTGATTGTCATAGTCTTCAACCAATCAGATCTTTAGTTTGACATGTTGGGCGTATTCTTTGACGTGCCAGAGCCTGCTAGCTGGTCTACAACTACGTCAGCATTAGGTGCAGCTCAGTTTTCAGGAGCAGCGCTGCAGTGAGGTGCAGGTGCACTGTGATTGGTCAGTGGGCGAGCACGTGACTATCGTGAAACGAACTTAACTTGCCAGCAGAGCTTAGTTGGAGGAGTAAGAGTTCAAATTGAAAGATATGGAAGAAATTATAACATCTTTAGGGTTTTGCTTGGTGTAGATTATTTATTTTTTTACCTAGCTTTCTTATTTTTTCTTATTAATATCACCTCGACGAGCCCTTTTCTCCTCGTTTGTGAAGCTTTTAGTTGTTTTGGTTTTGTATAACTTTAATGTGTATCTCACCAGTTGTTGATGTTCTCTGTTACTGTGTTTTAAGTTGTTTAACTTATCAAAACTGTCAAATACGCTTTTATGGAAGACTTTCACATATGCAAGAAGCCAATGTACATTGCTTTTTTACCTAGCTCCTAAACCCGACCAACATGTCCTCTGCAGAGGAGGCAGCGCCTGAAGATCTAGGGGGAGGCTCACCCATATCCCTGGCAGAGGCCGCTGAGGTAGTCAAAAAGCTCCTTGGTGGCAAGGCGCCGGGGGTGGATGAGATCCGCCCTGAGATGCTGAAAGCGCTGGACATAGTTGGGCTGTCCTGGCTGACACGCCTCTTCAATGTCGCATGGGGGTCGGGATCAGTGCCCATGGACTGGCAGACTGGGGTGGTGGTTCCCATTTTCAAAAAGGGGGACCGGAGAGTGTGCTCGAATTACCGGGGTATCACACTACTCAGCCTCCCGGGGAAGGCTTATGCCAGGGTGCTGGAAAGGAGGCTCCGACCGTTTGTCGAACCTCAGATACAAGAGGAGCAATGCGGATTCCGTCCCGGCCGTGGAACAGTGGACCAGCTCTTTACCCTTGCAAGACTACTGGAGGGGTTCTGGGAGTTTGCCCAACCAGTCTACATGTGCTTGGTGGACTTGGAGAAGGCTTTCGACCGGGTCCCTCGGGGGTTCTTGTGGGGGGTGCTGCGGGAGTATGGGGTGCCGGACCCGTTACAACGGGCGATTCGGTCTCTGTACGACTGCAGTAGGAGCTGTGTCCGCATTCTCGGCAATAAGTCAGACACGTTCCCGGTGGGTGTTGGCCTCCGCCAGGGCTGCCCTTTGTCTCCGGTCCTGTTCGTGACTTTCATGGACAGGATATCTAGGCGCAGCCTGGGGGTGGAGAACGTCAGGTTCGGGGGTCTCGGGATCGCCTCTCTGCTGTTTGCAGATGATGTGGTCCTGTTAGCCTCCTCGGATCGTGACCTCCAGCATTCACTGGGGCGGTTTGCAGCCGAGTGTGAAGCGGCGGGGATGAGAGTTAGCACCTCCAAATCTGAGGCCATGGTGCTCTGCCGGAAACCGGTGGATTGCTCCCTCCAGGTGGGGACGGAGTGCCTACCTCAAGCGAAGGAGTTCAAGTATCTCGGGGTCTTGTTCACAAGTGAGGGTAAGATGGAGCGGGAGATCGACAGGCCGATTGGTGCGGCTGCAGCAGTGAAGCAGGCGCTGCACCGGACCGTCTTGGTGAAGAGGGAGCTGAGCCGGAAGGCAAAGCTCTCAATTTACCACTCGGTCTACGTTCCTACCCTCACCTATGGTCACGAACTCTGGGTCTCACCGAAAGGACAAGGTCGCGGCTACAAGCGGCCGAAATGAGCTTCCTCCGTAGGGTGGCCGGGCTCAGCCTTAGAGATAGGGTAAGGAGCTCGGTCATCAGGAGGGAGCTTGGAGTCGAGCCGCTACTCCTTTGCGTCGAAAGGAGTCAGCTGAGGTGGTTCGGGCATCTAATTAGGATGCCTCCTGGACGCCTCCCACTGGAGGTTTTCCAGGCACGTCCAACTGGGAAGAGACCCCGAGGAAGACCCAGAACACGCTGGAGGGATTACATCTCCCAGCTGGCCTGGGAACGCCTCGGGATCCCCCAGAATGAGCTGGAACATGTTGCCTGTGAGAGGGAGGTCTGGGTCAGCCTGCTTGGCCTGCTGCCACCGCGACCCGACCCCGGATAAGCGGAGGAAAATGGATGGATGGATGGATGGATGGATGTTTTTTTAAACACTCAATGGCTGAATAAGGAGGAGAAACGGATTTAGTGGCGGAGTTACTGACAATGCCTTTCTCAAAAAAGAAGAACATTTCAGGAAAAGCTGGACATCGTAAGAAATGGTCAGTTAACCCCACAGCTGGCAGCCCTGACTCAGCCAGGATTCGTATGAACGGTACAGTATTTCTTGCTGACAGCGTCGGAGAAGCGTTGCACATTTTATGGCTGGGAATGCGTTTCATTTTAAGTGAGCTCTTGGTGTTTGGAGCTACACTACGCTAACCTGAGGACACCATAGCATTTGAAAACTTTTGGAGAGACTCAAGTGGATCTACAACTCAACGAACACGTTCGCGGGGAAACCGCTCCACAACCGCGGCCTGGCGTGCGGTCTGCGCAGGCGGAGGTGGGATCCCGGCCCCGCTGCAAACCTGCCGCAGCAGACCGGCGAAATACAACTGGGGAGGCTCGACTGTCATTGGTGTCCATGAATCGAGAAGGACTTCTTACTGGAACTGAAACGATGTACTGGGATTATACTCTTTAAATTTCGGTAAATGACAAACTGCGTTTTTTTTTTTTTTTTTTACATAGTAACGTTACTACTGTTCATTTGTCTATCGTGTCGTTTTTATGAATAATATTTGAATGGCTCGTGCTCTTGTGTGGTGGAATGCGTGGATCCGCTGCAGGTTTGCTGGATTGATGCTTCATAATGAGGTTATTAGGAGGTAATTGAACTGTAGTAGGACAGCACTGAAGGCCCAGGTATAAAATCCACGGCCCGCCACTGCATTATAGACATGTGGAAATGTAATTATAGTAACCGAGTTATCTCTATTTTGAAGTGGCTGTGATGTGTTTGTCTGAAGTAGACATGCTGAACAGAAAAAATTATATACATATAATAATAATAATAAATGAAATAAATAAATAATAAAAAACACTAAATAACTTTAAAACCTTACCACACAACTTCTTTTTTTTTTAAATTGTTGATATTATAAAATGTGGCTTTACATGGTCATGTATATACAACATAATATGTATTTACCTGAAACTAAATCAAGGAGGATAACTTGAAATGTATTCATACATTTCATATTACCACAGTGAGGATGCATACGATTTTTAAAAGATTATCCCTAAATCTGCACTAGATGCAAAAGCATAGAAGGAACATTTATGCACCATAAACTGGAAAATATGAATGCTTTCACCAAATAGATACTGAGTTTAATAGTAATCCATGCATGGTATAGTTACTAATTATGATTTATTACTTTAGCAAAAAAATTTACTTTGTCATGATGGAAGGAAATGTCTTCTTTATATTTTGAAATCTTTCATATATGACAAGTTTTTTTCACATGTGGAGGGGTGTGTAAGGGACATTCCTGATCAATCACAGAGTAATCATGTTAACTCCTCCTATGCTTGAGCTGATCATGTATACTTTGACCTACCTGGCCCGATTGCCTAAACTAAAGAACAGTTGCCGACCTGGAAGTCATCAGAAGATGATAAGGCGAATGAACCCTTTGTCTTTTGAACAAAGACATTAAAGATACTAAATACAAGAAGCAACCAGAGAGGGGTGACCAACCACACCCTCGTCCTGTGTACCGTGAGCATTAAAAGTGTGACAATGACGGAAGAGATTTTTGTCTTGTTCCTCGACGTCAGCGTGGGATTACCAAATTGCCACAACAGGATACTGATTGTTAGGTATTTGAATGCGTTTCTGTAAAATACACATCGTCTTTACACAATCACTACTCAAATATTTGCCAAGGGAGCACAGCTCTGCACAGACTCCGGTTCCCTCATGAGAGGACACAAATTTACGAGCTGACTCAAGAGGATTCAAAATTAGTTCAAACTGTTTTTATTTGGCAAACCCCGTGTGATACAGAATACTGTACAAAGGCAAACAGGGGGAAATCATTGTGAAGCCGTCGAGCAGTGAAACTGCGACACGTGCAAAAAGGTACAACTACAGTGTGAGAGAAGCAAGAGCATGTAAAGTAGAACACATGGGTTGATTGTCATGCACCTGGACTAGAGGACTAAGAAAGATAATAAATATATCAATTTACCACAACATCCCTGAAGTCCTGAAACCAAATGATGGCTGATTTAGATCTTTAAAAAGAACTGAGTGAACTCAAGGAAAGCACATTCAACTTCTACAGAGGTAGCTGATACAAATCAATGGGTTTGGCTACCTTCAAATAAAAACAAAACACCCTTAAATACCAATACTAACTCTGGCAGAATTGATTTAAAAAAATTAAATTAACAATCTTAGATCAGATATGTAAAGAAATTAAGTGCATAAAAGCCATTTTCAGTGGTTGATTATGAGAGGAACATTACAGTAGTTATAGAGAGCACATTGTCATTGCACCCGCTGATTAAATAACATGGGTTTGTCAAAGAAATATGAATTTACCGAACTGTATCACTAAATTATTGTTGTTGAACTGCCGTATATGAATCTGACAGTAATAAAAAAACACTTATGTACTTAACAGTAACATATTCAAATGCATGTTGTTGATTTGTGCTTTGATATTAACAGCTGGCACTCAGGATAAACAAAAAAAGGGCGTAAAAATAACTTCAGTTGGTTCGATACAAAGGCACGTTCATCCTTTCTCTTACCATGACAATCTCCTTAACCACAAAACAAATATACATATTTCCAGAGTTCACCTGCTCGGTGTGGCACAACACAGCAAAACAGCCACCACACAACTAAGAGCACATCAGTGCAGCCAAAATATATGCAAATGCGTTTCTGCAGGAAGTAAATGGGAGTGCAGAGTTGTAAATGAATTCGTTGGCACACGTTTATGTAAAAAAAGGCAAACTCCCCCCCGGTTCGGACTTCAATAAGCTGGAGGCTGGTACTCTCCCGGCTGCTCCTGGTTGGGAGAGTAAGGCGACTGCTGGTAGCCCGTCGGGCCACTGCTGCTGCCGGCGTACGGAGCGGGCGGGTACGGAGTACCGTGGTCGTTGGCCGGGTCTCTGTACTCCTGGTCAAAGTCGTTGACGCCTTCGCGGTACCTTCCGAAAGCAAAGTAGCACAACAGACCCTGTTGAGAGACGTTAAAGAGTTAGAAAGTGGAGCTATGTGAGAATTGCGTGTGTGTCATCCTCTGGTTTTGTTAAGTCAAAAGCTGGCTCACCCAAGTGACGATGGAGAAGAAGGAGAAGGCCACAACGGCTCGGGCAGCATCCCCGACGACCACGGACACGTCGGCGGTTTTGGACCACTGGTTGGCCAGGACGCAGAAGCAGATGAACCACAGGAACGTCCAAGCCCCTGTGAAGATAGACAGTCAGGAACCAGATGAAATATGGTGACAGATTTAACCTCAACTAGGCTGCACTTCCTGTTTTGGGGGCACGGTTCCTGCATTCTAGAAGGAGCTGCTGCGTGCAGGTAAACACGACTCTCACCTGAGAACACCAAATCTCCTATGACAATACATTTTCTCTCTTTGGCGTTGCTGATCTGTGGGAAGTAGGCGTCCAGTATGAGGAAGACGACACAAGCCAGGAAGGCCAGGACTCCGATCCCGACCCCGTAGCTGCAGGCGCTGTCATTGCTGTTGAACATGCATTTGGTGTCTTGTTCCTTCAACGGGTTGACGTAGCCTTCTGCCGTGATGGTCGCAAAGACCACGATGGAGAATACCTGCAGAGAGAGCGAGAGGAGGGACACACGGGGTTAAAGTGGGGAAGAAAATGCATGTTTCAGGTGGAGCAGCCGAGTGATTCTCATCACATGATTCACATTACGAGAACGCTTTAAACGCCATAAAAGAACATCTGATTAAAACATCTGTCAAGGCCGTTTCAAGCCGTTGGTGCAGTTCAGGGTCCCTCCTCACACCCTGGGATACTGAGCTGCTTTACTTCTTGTTGACTTAACACAATGAAGACAAAGCCTTCACTGTCAGGGCTCTTGAATATGAAAAGACTTGAAGAGATAAGAGCTTTCAAACCACACCTTTTAAAAATAACCTTTTAGCGTAAATTATTTATTATTTCTATTGCTTTATCTGTTTTGTTTTGCACTCTGTAAATGTGATATAGGCTACATAGACATATAGTATTATTATCAGCTTTGCAAGAGTAAGTTTTCACCACAACAACTTAATATAATTGACCTACATTGTTACGCATTTTAAAACAGCCGTGTAGTAAAGTGTGACGCCAACAGGTGACGTCTGCACACGTTTAAATTACTCTTTATCGACGACATCTTCTGAGAGTTTTAACTCGCCCTGGACCACCAATCAGAGCCGTGTGCAACACTGTTGCCAAACAAACCGTCCGTCATCAGTTGGTAATCTGTCAGTTGGTAAGGTGACACGGCACTGGACATGCTAAGCTAACATGAGCTAATATCAACAAGTGCTCCAGAAAACACATCAAATTTACACTTTTTTGTAACTATCTTTAAGATTTCAACCTAACGCGCATCACGTGTCCGGTGTCGGCAGCTCATTCAGCCAAGAAGTCGGCATCGCTGACCAACTTGTGTCGCTGCTGGCAGCTCACATATGTTACCACAAACTCAACGTGACAGTCGAGCTAACTTTCCATGCTAACGTTTCCGTGGAGTCACTCACCCAGCTCAGGCACCGCAAAATGGTTTGAGGCTGTTTTGAAAAATTGACCAAATCAAAAGCCCCGCCAGCCAGCGAGGCCCCGTAAGCACTGCCCTGCATTTTTTTTGTCACCCCCAAAAATGCCTCTATAAACGACTTAAAGACGAGCTGGAGAAGTCTCTCCCTGTCAAAGTTTGGGACAGTTTCGTTTTGTCAAAAAAAAAAAACAGCTTCCTGAAAACTTTTTCAAAGACCGCCCCTGCTCTGGTGTGTTCAAGTGCTCCTCGGAAAATGCGACTATAACCTATAACCTAAAAAGAAAAATGTAAATGGCCCGTGTTGTTGTTTTTTTGTAACTCTAGGAGGCAGTAGTGACACATTGCAGGGCTGTTAGTTTTACAAGGAGCAAAGGTTCATATCGTTTGATTATAAACGTCGTAGGAACAGCACAGCTATGAGATTCAACACAAGAACCTAACAATAAAACCATACAGATTGAAAACGAGTGCTCACTTCTAACTGTAGGCCTACTAGTAGTTTTTCCAATTTTGTTAATTTAAGATAGTTTGACAAATGTAACGTAGTGTTGCAGTTCTTCAATGTGACCACTGGAGGGCAGTGAACACTCATTGTTTGAAATTAACGCAGGTCATCACCTCCACTTTTCATCAAAAGAGACACAATACCATGTTTATACTTCCCATTAGTATTAAATATTAAATACCTGTATAATTTATATTTGTTTATTTGCTACGTCCCCATGACCCACAACGCATGTCAGCTATGTTTAACTGATTGCACCTCATCAGCTGCCACCACATCTTGGCACCAAAGGCAAATTAGGCACAGCTGTGTGCTGCCAGAGAGCCAGAGAGCAAGAGAGAGAGAGAGAGAGAGCGAGCGAGCGAGCGAGAGGAAGTATGATGTGTATAGACAAGCATAGACTGTTACAATGTCAGTGATAACACACTGTTCTGTGGTTGACTGCTGGTGAAGACTGAGCTGCTGGGAGCTGTGTTTGCGCCGTACAGAGATCATCAAGGACCATGGCATACAGTGTCAACATTTGTGAAATTGATTCTGGTTCTGAGTCGGAGTCTGACTTTGAGTGAGTCCTCTTTCAAGACTTTATTTGAGCGTTGCTTTACTTTTTAGTTGTTTAGTGAACTTTGTACCTGATTGCCATTTCCTCTGCATCTTTCTGCTCGGCTGGGCTAATGCACTTTCATTTTGTCTTGTCTTGTAGCTGTTACCTTGTTACTTTTATCAAATTATGTTACTAATAAACTAAATTGTAGTTTTATTTTCTATTCCGTCTTTACACAAGCCATTTTGGTTTTGAGTCCATGCTCTGAACATTTCCAGTGCTTTCCTAGCCATAGCTTTCAATGATTTTAGATCAAAGCATCTTTTGTCTGTGTTTACTGTTATTTTTACATACATGCCACTGTACTGATGGTGCTCGGGCCAAATCCTTTGGGTCTCTGGGTCATTATGGCTACTCTCCCTTAGGAACATGGGAGAAAGCGAACCAGGTCAGAGCTCCTTCCCGCTCTTTGGAGAGCCAGCTGCCAGCACCCAGAGGTGTCCTGAAACCCTACAGATGGACGTTTTTAGGGAATGTACTGGCACCAATACAGAACGTCTGCCATTTCCTGCAAGTGGTCATGCGAGCGGCGAGACGCGCGACAGGCAGCAGATGAACCCTCTGCAGAGGCATCGCTGGTCGGCTGCTACCTTAAAGGTCCTCTGCGCAATGCCCAGTCGCACTGCTGGTGAGATGAACCCTTCCTCTAATTATATATCGACACTGTTCATGTAGACATGTAAACTGACTGTTGTTCTGTCCACACAGTGATGAGAAGCCCTGCAGTAATTCCACGGCGCGGCAGAGAATCATCTCAGCTCCACCGACAGCAGACCTCCTCCTGTGGTTCTTCTCACCCCTCCAGAACAATCCCAGAGGACGTTGAACAGGCAGATATGGAGGAAGTCGGCACTGAAGGTGAACAGGAAATGCCTCTCCGAACTCGCCTCTGAACGTGTCAATAAATTGGTTTGTTTTCTAAATTTTGGTTCACAGGAAACAAGAAGCGGCAGCTGATGCTCGACCTCCGAGGCCTCTCGGTGAGTGAGGGCATGCGCAAGCTGCGAGCCACGCCGCTCAGCCTGGCCGATAAGATGGACGTCAGGTACGTGTGGCACTGACGACACTTAATGTCCTAGGAAATAAAGCACTGTGGTGACTGTCCGGCCCATCTGTTATCAGGCGACTTGCTTTCAGTGACCTAGCTGAGAGTTCACTCATCGGCGGAAATATAGCATGCTACAGTCGTCTAAGCGTGTGCATATCTAGGGTGAGTACACACTGTGTGCTACACGAGGTAGAAACCACTTTTGTTTGTGTGTATGAGTCCTTCACTCGTTGAGGTTTTTCTCCCCTCAGACTTGGCGTCATTGCCTGTTCAGCTGCCTCCCCGTCCTCACCTCCCTCCAGTTGTGGCATTCACCCATGAAGAGACTGAGCGGGCGTTTCGGGACCGGCGTGCTTTCCTACTTCCTGTTCCTCCGAACCCTCCTGCTCTTTAACCTCCTCCTCTTCGTCATCTTCGGCCTGTTCCTGGTCTTCCCTCAAGCCGTCAACCCTCCTCCTCTTCCTCGCGGCTCTAATCTCGACACTTTCACGGGCCTTGAGCTTCTCGCCGGAACGGTATACGATGCATCACGGCAGCACATGCATGAGAATGTCTGCGTGGCGCTCTCTTGAATCAAGTCTCTGTTACGTCTTGCAGGGTTACATCTCTCAGAGTGTGATGTTTTACGGCTACTACACCAACACCATCCTCAAAACTTGCCGGGCTGCTAACTCCACTGCTGAATCACCGGATATGCCAGTCTGTGATACCGACGGGCCCCAGACTGTGCCATACAGCATACCTGCAGCCTACTTCTTTACCATCGCCATCGCCTTCTTCATTATCTGCATCATCCTCGTGTACAGGTTCGACAATAAGTCAACTCCTTACACGTGAACACTTGCTTTAATCCATCTGCGTTGTGTATTTCATGGCTATGTTGTTCTCCTGCAGCATGTCCAAGTCCTTCGGGAGCAGTTTTCAAGTCCTCAAGTCGAATGGAAACCTGGCCGTCAAAGTTCTCTGCTCCTGGGACTTTAAAGTCACCAGGGAGACGTCTGTCAAACTGCAGTCTGAGAAAATCAGCACTCAGCTCAAAGTATGCAATCTGTTGTATGCAATCCGTTGCACTCACTAAAGTGTGAAACTCATTTTTAATATAATAAACTGATATTAGAAACCAAGACGATGATTCCACATTTCCTTTCCAAACAGAAGCATCGGGGTGAGTCATGTCAAACGTGATCAAACTGGCTACGCTTACTTCTTGCTTCTCAGCAAATTTCATCATTAAGTTCAATGTGACATGTTTGGTCACACGATCTCAGCTTTTGCAGAACTGGTTTACACACAGGAAGCTTTTGATGATGCTTTGTCAGAACCCGATGTGACTGTTTTAACTGCGGGTCCCTTGGCATTCGCAAAGAGGCTAAAGAATGCCATTTTCTTACGAAGGAGGGATTTTCAAATATCCAAATATATTTTGAACATCTTTAACGATCCTGGCTTGACCCTTACAAACTGCTGCTTTTTCCCCAACAGGAGCTGCTGTCTGAGATGATCCGCGGAGAAGATAAAAAGAGCTGCAAGCACCGACTCTGCCGCCTGATGGTGCACCTGATGGCGTGGGCTATATCTCTGGCCAGCATCTGTCTGGGTGCCATGGCGGTCCACTATCTGTCAGAGGTTAGAGGGAACTGCGCAACAACAGCTATGCAGCCAGACATGACAGACTTTATGCAGATAAAGCTCTAATAAAGAAGCACTTTCCCACCGCTGTTTATTTACTTCTCCTTTTACTTTCCTGGAAGATGTTTAACACCTGTTTTTTTTTTTTTTTTTGTCTGCCTGCTGCATGCTTTACAAAACTGCCATGCATGAGAACCGCCAAAAAACGTATCCTGATTGAGTATGTTTAACATCGTGGCTCCCAAACTTTTTCCATCTTCGGAGAAATCCTGCGACCCATTCTCACATGCCAACTTGAATCAACTGGTGAAAATACTGAGGAAACTCGTAATAGTTCTATTTCAATTCAATTCCATTCCATTCCTTCACAGGCTGCCATTAAGCAGAGTCTCTTCAAAGACGATGAGCTGCTGCTCTTGTCTGCAGTGGTGTCCGGCTTTAACCTTTTACTCCCCGGCCTCTTCAACCTGTGTGCTTGGATAGAGAACCATGACTCACCCAGTGTTCGCGTCTATGTCTCCATCTTCAGGTAAGAAGAAGAAGAACTGTAAGCACAAAACAAAATGCACAATCAACCACCACAGAGAGAAGTCACGCGGAGCCATGCAAAGCAAAGCTAGACTTGTCGAGCATAATTAAGCATACAACGTTATTTCTTACTGATAAATATAACTGTAATAGTTACACTATGTTTCGGTAAATACTATATACATTTCCTCTTCAATAAACACTCTTGTCTTCTCTTTTCTGGCATTTAAGTTAGAAAGAAAATAAGGAGCACATACAAAAGTGTGAAACCATTTCATCAACAATGAGATGAAGTAAAAAACATAAATCACAACAATCTTAACTCTACCATATAATTTGCTCAGTCGTTTGAATCTGGAGCGTCCAACGCTTTATATTAAATATGGAAGCTTCAATTGCAGCCACATTGGTTTCACTCTATGAAGTCTTATTGTAGCGGGAGAATATTCATGTAACATGGACTTTAATTATAGTGACGCTGTGTGCCATTTTTCTCAAATGGACATTGTTGTTGTCGTCTTTTTTTTTTTTTTTTTTTGTTTTTGGGAATTTGTTGTTGAAGGTCAGCATTGTTGGAGTGCTGTGTTTCCGCTGGATGGGGAGGATTGCTGTGGAACCAGAAAGTCGTGGTTTACAGGTCAACACACTTCCTTGTACTGTATTTAAAGTTCCCTTGAAGTGATGCTGATTTGTGCCATGTTCTGCATTCCTAAAGTCCAGTACATTTCTCAGGTCTTACAAAACAAAAACAAAAAAAAACACTTCTCTCCATTTTTTTCAGGTTTTCATTATGATATCGGCTACATTTGACTAAAGCAACAATAAATACAATGTTGTGCGTTTTGTTTATGAATATTATAATATTAAATATTTTGGTTCAAAATTCAATTTGGTTACCATTACTAATATTTAGGATGCATATTTTTTATTGCAGCTTTACCCCCTTACGGGCAGCCCTGATTAGGACACACTAAGTGTTTGGTTGTGAGCTAACTATCCCTAATATGATCAATGCTTCTGTCGTCCTCAGTGTTGGGAGAGCTTTGTGGGGCAAGAACTGTATCGCTTGCTCTTGATGGACTTTGTCTTCACAGTGCTTTACACTTTTTTGGGAGAGTTCCTGTGGAGGCAAGTTGGCGCTTTACCCACAAATCGTGTAACTTGATTAACTCTTGTTTGCTGTTGATAAAACCATTCACTGAACGCTGAGCGTCTTCCTCCGTAGGCTCTTTTCTAAGAGAATTCTGAAAAGGAAGAGGAAGCCAGTGTTTGACATTGCTCGTAATGTGCTGGAACTCATATATGGACAAACCCTTACTTGGTAATTACACCACATCCTCAAAACCCTCCACATATCTAACAAAAACAAAAAGTGAACACATTAATTAATGGTTCTTCCCAGGCTCGGGGTGCTGTTTGCGCCACTGCTTCCTGCGGTCCAGATCATAAAACTGTTTGTGTTATTTTACATGAAGAAGGTTGGTACACGAGGTCTTGCTTCATCGTCGTACACACACTCATTTGCGTGAACTTCAAATGCTTCCTTTTTTCTTTCCAGAGCAGTCTAATGCTCAACTGTCAGGCATCCAGAAAGCCCTGGAGGGCCAGTCAGATGACAACACTGTTCATCTGTCTTTTGTGCTTCCCCTCGTTTCTTGGAGCTGCTGTGTCTATCACTTACATCATTTGGACGTAAGTGCACCATACCTTACTTGTACTGTATGTTCCAGTTACAATTTCAGGGTGTTTCCGTCCGAGTCCCACACGTTTCACCAGATATTATACCATATGGCTGGGGATGTATACTGTGTGCTGTTATTGTCGCAAAGACAGGAAACAACAATTATTTTAAACTACTAGCGAGTGTTTGTTTAGCCTAGCTAATTCCTTTGTGCCATAGACATCCGTTGTTGTCAGAAACGCATCAATTGGCCTCACGGTCGCACTGGGTGACATGTTCGTTCAATAATGTGTATTAATCTACAGCTGAAAGTAGTCCCCAACAAATGCAGAATTTATTCTTGTTAGAATAATATTTGCTTAAAACTACAGTGCAAAGCTGTTATAATGATAATAATAATGACTTTACTTTAATTTCTAAAAATGAATGAATATTTCTGACCCATTTTTTAAAGGGTTAGTTTAACATTTTGGGTGAGAGGATTGATACCACTCATCTATGGTAACGTCAAAGTATTCCTTTAAAAAAAGCATGTCTTCAGTAGAAATGAATGGGCTTGGGAAAGTATCGCATGATGGATAAACCTGGCTAACCTCAGCTTTAAAGCCAGTGAAAAAAAGTGCTATTGCCCAAAAACTGTCAACCTGCGCACATCTTCAAAGTCCATCTGTCTGATGTCCTCAGGATTAAACCCTCGTCCAGGTGCGGCCCATTCAGGAATCTCACCACGATGTTTCAGTCGGGGCAGCTGTGGGCCCAGGAGCTGGAGAACGCACACCCGATCCTGTCTCGGCTCAGCTGGGCCTACAACGCTCTGCTGGAGAACCCGCTGTTCTTATTCCTCGCCTCTGGAGTCTTTCTGTAAGTGGTGACATGATGACGTTATCATTCATATGGTTTGTTTATTTCTATTATCTGACCTTATTATCAAATGTTGTGTATTGTTCTGGTTATTCTGTTAACAAAGTGTCTGCCTTCCAGACATATTCATTGTAACTGTGTCTGAATGTTTATGGTCTTTACATTTGTTTCCCTCTTATGCTTTCTATTTTTTCAGATTGGTGATATATTTTCACACTCAAGTTGTTGATGGGCAAAGGAGAATCATCATTCGGTTGGAAAAGCAAATTGAAAATGTACGCGTAATCAAACAAGAGTCTACGCAGCCATGCTGGCGGCCCTGTGAGGCTGCACTTATAGGCTTTGACCCCAATGCTAACGTTACGTCCAAATGCTAACATGCTCACAATGACAATGCTGATGTTTAGCATCTGTAGTGTTTGAAATATTCACCATCCATCGCAGAGTAGCTCATCCAGTGGATTTACAACTGAGGCTGATGGGAATGTCATTAGTTTTACAAGTATTTGGTAAAAACTACGTTGGACACATTCAAATCTTGACCCGATGATGGCGCCAGAGGAAAAATTAAGGGATACCATAATAATTACAATTCATCCTGAGAGGGACAAATGTTAATCCAAATTGTAGATTGATGCTATAGGCATATCAATGACTTTCTGGTGGCGCTAGAGGAAAAATAGTCATTTTTTGGGCGCCAGGCGTACCAAATTCCACAGCCATCCATCCAATAGTTGTCAAGACAGTCATAAAAAAATGTCAACAAAGTCAGGGCATCACCAAAGTCAGTAGGATTCAGCGTCTGGGTACCATGAATGTCTGTACCAAATGTCATGGGAATCCATCAAATAGTTGTTTTGACATTTGCTAGAATGTCTAAAACGTATGCTGATATTGATCTTAATGTGTCTGGTGTTTATCTCCTCTTGTGTTGTACAGGAGAGTAAAGACAAAAAGTTCCTCATCACCAATCTGCAAGCCATTTATGAGCGGAGTAGTCTGGTTTCCCCTCACAGATAAGGTGGGTAGTCTCCATACTGTAACCTCTTTGTGTTTGGAACACAACTTCTTTGTTTACTCAGTTTTTAAATGACCTCATTTATAATCTGAAAAGGCATTTCTGTGTGGACACTGTCATATGAAAAGTTTTTGTCTTTATTTCCTACCCCC